GAGGGACAAGCCCAAAAAGTGCTACCTTTGAAACAATCAGAATGCTTATGGGCAAGGAAGGGTAGAGTTGGATCCAGGGGTTTTTTAAACAAGAAAAGTTGGCTTTGTTTAGGAAACAGGAGCACAAGAACATATCTAGACTATAACCATGGAAACTCTGACTAAACAGGACAAAATCTAAGAAAAACACCACAAAAGCACGTAAAAGCCACACCCGCATAACGTCGAGCTCTCTTTTTTACGTGAAAGGGGGCAGTTTTTGTGCTCCAACTGTTCAGGCGTTCGTCGTCTTCCGGCTGTCTTGTGGCAGATGTGGTTGATTCTTGCGTGCTTGGCCGGGCCAGCCAATTTTTGATCGTTCGCTCACTTTGCTGCTTAATACTTGGACGGAGTTCCCCTCCCCAAAAGGCGATATGGACGGTCACTTATTTACAGTGATGCCTGACTGGATAGACCCAAAATTCGCAAATACACCCAGCGTCCAAAAAACACAAAAGCGTTCAAACATCCAGCACGCACTACATCTTTTTGGTTTTGGACCTAGTAAAAGCAAGAAGGATTCTTAGTATGACCACTACTGGTAAGATAAAAAGTCAGTACTGGTACAAACGTGGGACAAGGAGGAGAAACGATCATTTTGATCCAGGTCCACTGACTTCGTGTCCAGTGAGATGTCCGATCCTGCTCGATGATGGCTGCATCTATGAGGACGCTGCAATGTGAGAGAGTTGCCTGCGTATGCCTGCGTGCCGAATGATTTCCTTATTCCTTTTGAGTGGAGTAGGAGGTAGTCCGGTAGCTAATCAGGTAGCTAACAAGATCATACAACATGAATAAATATCATAAATATCTAGGAAGTGTCAAACAAATCTAGGAACCACGCGTGAGCTTTCCTGGGTCCTAGGTAGTAGCTCAGCTACTAGCTACCTCTTACGGCCTACCCCCCCCCCAAATATTTTTGAAATACCTAAAAAAGAAAAAAATAGAACAATGGGTAATAAATACATTGATGATATACTTAAGTATTGAATACGCAATGAGCATCGGCAGCTTTTTGAAGTTCGTAGAGCTGGACGCAGAACTGGAGTTCTTCGAAATCTCCTTTCGACTCCTTCGGCCCCGCTCGGTTTGAAAACTGGACAGCGGGAATAAAGAGGAATTGCTTACACTGTTTTCTTTTGTTTTATATGTTTGTCCTTGGGAAAATTCAAGTTCTTTCAGAAAACTGGCATCAAACACAGTGCTTTCCCCTGTTTGCGCAGGAGCATGCTGCTTTGACATGGCTTCGATCAATGGGGTCGCCTTCAAGCAAATGGGTCGTTGGCTCAGCAGACTTGCCCACCCCCACCACCTAGTTGCAAAGTGATACAGGCGGCACAAACGTTACACCGTTATATACACATTTTGACAATGAGGCACTGAGACTTGGACCCTTGGCAGAAGCTGTTGAGGCTGACACCATTTAGAAAAGTGTAAGAGAATGCATACTGTTTCGGTCCGCGCTAGGCTTTTCTCCAGCACTGCAACGCAGGGGGGTATTGTGTGTCAGAGCAAATGGAGCAGGCGGAAGATGGATTTCGATTGATTTGGGTATTTGGAAATCACAGTCTGTTCCAAATCTTTGCATATTTGTGCCACTTACACTGCAGTCTCATTGTGATTTTTCAAAGCTAACGGCTTTGTCACCTCATTGTTAGGCCATGGGCGAGGCAGAGATGCCAGGACAGATTCCCGCCATGTCTGGGAAGATAGCATGATAAAGCCACACCTGGGTGTTATCAAAAGTTGGAAAACCTCTACCCGAATCTAAGCGTTTCCATACCATGTCGCCTTTGATGTCAATATAATAACTATATATAACCTCTTTGTCAATCCCTTCTTAAGAAACATCTATGTCTTCCTTTGAATACAGTTCTTTTTGCAAGGTTTGGTTTGAGGTTCGTGCTTCTTTGTTTTACTTCCACCATGCAAGCCTTCAAGGTGTCAGAACTCAAACTGCAATGCATAAGATTTCTCTCCTTCAAAGCCTTCTCAGCTCTTCAGTATCGACGCGATGTTTTGGCAGGTTTCTTGCTTTCTGGCAAGTCATGAAGGAGGTAGTTTGAAGAAGAGTCCACCAAAGCGATAATTGGTCAAGCGGCCAGTCAGAAGTCATAAGTGATAAGTGAGGTGGGAAAGGATTAACAACTGATTCCATAAGAATATCGTCGTTGGTTCAAAGCTTGGGTGCCTGTTTTTCTTGGCTCACGTTATGCATCCGTATTATATGTGAAGCCGAAGGTGACGTTCAGACATGTTGCACGAGTATTGCTGTGAGGTAGGGGGTAGACATTGATTTTGGAGTCAATGACCTCTATGCGCCACCCACGCATCACAGATCAGATCACATCACCCTCAAGGCGTAATCGTGTGTGCCTTCACCCGAAGTGTCGTCCTCCATGCGCGGTCTGAGCATCTAGAATCTACAGTAGAGCTCTGGAGACATTCGCATCGAGTCTAGATGAGGCCAATGAAGTCAGTGTATACTTTCCTTGACAAGATTCAATCATGCAAATTCTTGTGGTGTGACTGACCAGCTCTCACAACGGCAAGATACATTTTTGCCTTCTGCCTGGTCAACAGAGCCCGGTTGAGTCACTCCGTGCTTGGACAGCTGTGTCCCCAGCATCGGTCCATTCCTCTCCAAGTCCTTGGAAGGTGAGACAATTCCTCCTCAATTCGACCAAGCTCACTTCCAGGACCATTGGACATCTTTCTTTTTAGCCCGCCCTTACTTAGTTATGTAGACACCTACTTAATTAAGTATGGGGGTAAGCTAGGCTACTAGCAATAGGAAGCTCCTCGCTCGGAGGCAGGATAGCTCACGCTTCCTTCAAGAAGTGCTCGCACTATTCATTTGGTTTCTAGATTTCTAGGGAAACAGAACTTTGTCGAAGACGGTGTTCATCCCCTCCAGATCTGCGTGATCTTCTGCAGCATTGCCTCGCTGAGCGTTCTGGCCAGCATTTCCTCCTTTTGCATTGTGTTCAGCCTTACCTGGGGGGTTCCAATACCTTGGCTCGGACCTGTTCCTTTTCCAAGTTGCTCGGCAGCTGTTCCTGAGCAGCGTTCACACGTTCACACTTTCTCCCACCTGCTCCGGTTTTTGCATGCCCAGTGGCTTCATGCCAATTATGCCAGGTAGCTCGCTCACCCTGGCTGCACCCCGCATGCAGCTCCGATGCACAGTCCTCTCCATCCTGACCAGAGCATATTGGTCTGGCCTCCAAGCAAGCAATTGGCCGTAAGGAAGTTCTCCTTGATGGAGCGCTGGTACTGGGCCTTTGCAACATCAGCCCATCCCAAGCTCGTTTGCTTCAGAACAGCTTTGTTTTGCCGTGGTCCCTGGCTTCAAATTTGGAGGGGCTGCCCTTTGGGCAGCACTGTCGCCTGTGTTGGGCTCATCACCTCCATGCGGAGCATGCGCTTTTCTGTGAATAAAGACAGGTCTTGGATTAGCCCTGCGTTCAGCTATTTTATCAATGTTATTCCAGGATACAGTATTCCATATCCTCAGATAATGAGTGCTCCTTCAAAGGCTCACTCCCCCAAACATCCAGTTTCCTCCAGGAACTCCATGGTTGAGAAAGATTGCGATCCTGGAAGCTTCACGGCGCATGTTGTCCTTCTTCCGCGCATTTATACTCTGATCCTTTGAGTGTTCACAGCCATCCGAGGCCTCCATGGAGCAAGCCGAAAAAGAGGCAGCATCCATCAGGCACCATTCGCTTGAGACGCAGGCGCTTTCACACACATGGAAGTCAACGCAAACAACAATAACTACATACAAATCGACTTGATACTGCTTGTGAGTTGTGTTGAGATGTCATTTTGGGCCGCGTGAGCCTTTTTTTCAATTTTTTTTTGCAAGCAGGTGCTAATTCGGTAAAGTGGAGAGAGTCTTTGTGTGTCGAGTTTTGCTTTCAGGGTCCTACAAACTTGAGTCAGTTATTGCATCGAAAACCGCACAGTTTATTTTTTCGATGACATTAATTTAGACTTTCATGCTGTGCAATTGTCACCGTGGTGTCCTTCCGCCTCTCCAACTTAGCTCTCATCATGTCCTTTTCTGATCGAAAGTCGATCATACAGCTTTATTTTTCATGGTTCCGTATCATTTTGGTGGTGGTCCCCGTTTGGTTCACCTATTGTCCCCTCCTACACATTCGATGACCACTTTCCATTTCTCCAGTTGTGCAAGCAGTCAGACACTCGTTCAACCTTGCTCGACAGCAGTAACTAAGAAACAATTGCTTCGTTGATTCTGACTTTGTCAAGTGCATCGCTGTCTTCCTGCCTCCATCAATCCAATGTAGAAGAGCTAGTGTTTGGTGTTGTTGAGGACTCGGCATAGATTCTGCATCAATAAGATTCAATAAGCACATTTGCTTGTTTACCGCTAGGCATTGCTGCAGCGCTTGAAGAAGCAAACCGCCAAGAAAAAGGACTGCACGATACTCCTGTTGAGGGCTTCTGGGATTTACACATGAGTGAGCGCCCAAGAGGAAGAGGCTGCCTTGTGTCTTCAACGAGCATTCCGCTCGAAGCAGTTGCGCCCTGGCCAAAAAGGAACAGGTCCTCCTAGGACCTTGCATGTCCTGTACCACAAGCATGGACAGACAGTCTTTCAAGAGTGTTTCATAGCATATGAGAAGGTAGGAACATTGTTCCTTAGTTTCGCGCAGGTGCGATGCAGAACAATAAAGGTGCATTCTTTTGAGAGTTGCAAAGGATATTATATACACATATATACACCGTAAGGGTTTTGTCGGGAGGAGGTGCAACTTGTATTTACCCCTGCATGGGAAGGCTTTTTGAAGTGCAAACTGGCGATTCGGACCAGTGGGCAAGCCTCCCAAGCATCCGAATATATCCGAATTGCAATTCTTGCCGACCTCCGACGGAATGTGGGGTCACATGAAAGTTGAGGGATAATTATGCCTGGCACCACTCTATGCTGCAAACCTTTTGCCATCGCATTCATTGTCATGGTTGGGGCTGTGTTGAGAGCTATGCTTTAGGGGTGGTGTGGTTCAGCTCTTGTTCAGAAAAAACGGATGTCCTCCTGAAAGTGGGTTATATACTTGTGTACTGCAATGCTTTTGGCTACGTACGGGCATTCTATCAAGCTTTCCTGCCTTTTCTCATGGAAGGTTAGAGGGTGTTTAAATGTTGGGATAACAAAGATCCAATGCTGCCTGAAGGTGGGAGAAGCAGCAAGCTGCAGCTGTGTTCCTGCAAAGATGGTGGCGAAACCTGAGGACTTGCTTTGAACGAACACAGCGAAACCTGAGGATACAGGCTTTCAACACCGAGCTTTGTGTTTGGTGTATTGTCATGTTCAAGAAATCAGCTTTCTCCAAAGTTACCAAGGAGAGGAGCCAAGAAGCCAAAGAGAAGACGTGGTAAAGCACAAAAGAAAGGAGATGACCAAACCGTTTCATTGTATAATTCACAGTGTATACAGTATAATATATATAATACATATTGTATATTAAAATACTATAATACTTTTATTAGACGATGCCAATGTGAACAAACAGAAGCACAACAATGTGTGACACAGGTGAGCACCATAATTATTGCACCGTGTTGCACTTTGGGATGCGTCAACAGCTAAAGACAACCTGCACTTAGTTTGTTTGAGGCTTCCTTAAGTTGAATCTCGACTTGTTGCCCCACGGTATGAATCCCGAGCCAGGATCTGTCAAGCCCGCAGAAGAGTCACTGGGGCAAGACATATGGCAAGTAAGCAACAGGAAGCATGAATCACAGTCACATTCAGCATTGTGCTTGACTTGCGCCGTTTGAGGCCAGCACAATCTTCTCCTCCGCCAGTAGAAAGTGTCCTTGAACTCAATAAGCAGTGCCAAAGCTCAGAATCAACATGACAAGCCGGCTGAACTGGTACCAGTATGATGAAATATGAAATACTTGGCAGCATAGCATTTTTGAACTGAGTCCAAAAACTGCCGACCCTTCTCGCTGGGCCTTTGAGGCACCAACAGTATGCAAGGATTGAGGAAAAAGTCAGGGTCCTCGGAGTCCTCAGGCAAAGCTCAATAATGTACAGAATCCTGAGCAAGCGCGAAACGTTGCATCAGATTAAGTGAATCCTTTGCAAACGCTTAAGGACAAACGTGCCGTCCTTGACTTCTTCCTGGATCAGCTCATGTTTCTTTGCCTTCATTGCATTTTAAACAAAGAAGTAATGCACCGACTGAGAGTCGCCAGCACGGCTCGTCGTGGTCATTCTTTGCGTGGATTGCAACACATGTGAACTATGATACTGACAGCAAGATGTTCGATGCAAACACCACCCAGAGTCAATGTGTGCTCTTTATCAGACAGGTATGATAGCACCAACTTTCGGATACTCATCGTGACAAGCTCGGACGAGCGCCTTAGTTGCAGATCGAAAACCTATTTCCAAACAAGAAGTGAGAAAAAGGGGCAAGGACTCTTCCCACCAAAAGAGATGCACAGGTTCCATCCGGAAAACAAGCGTGTGGCGTCTGAGGCGTGCTCAAGGCCTCAGGAAAGTCCTCCAGATGTCAAAGGCAGTTCAATATCCATTGGTGACAATGCTGAAATCGGATGATGCAGCTTCGAAGCAAATGTCATTGCTCATCATTTCTCCATATTGCTCCCAATAACTCATTTTCTGTGCTCGACATCTCCAAGATGTTCTAGACCTGCAATTCACGAATTCACCTAAGGAATCACACCGGTTCAAGGACCGCTTCTTGAGGGTTGCTCGTCCAGGTATTTTCAGACTACAGTGGATTTGGTATTGTGAATCACAGGAGCTGCCGGAGTGTGCTGGAATAATATCTGAAGGAAGGCTCCGTGGGAATCCTGATGTCTCGGCAGCAAACATGTGCTTTGGGCTGCATAGGGCCCAGAGTGGAGGTTCCAAACTTGTGTTTGACAAGGATGAGCACCTGTCCGGCTTTTTCAAACATGTGGACACCGTTGGGTTTTGGGACAGGAGACACAACCAACGTTTTGGTGACCGGTTCAGTAGCTGCTTAGCGGATGCTACGGGCAGTGAGAAGTGTTTGTCAAGGAAGAACCGACATCAAATTTCTGAAGAGTTAGGGGCAGCCAGAGGTAGGACTTAAAAACTGCACTTAATCTGTAAGGTTTTGTTTCTTCCAAATGCTCGTTTTATGTCCAAAATCATCATCCTTTGTTCTTGCACGTTTCTTGTGTTCGAGGATGGTTAATTTTGACATGCCTCGCAGCTTGGAGCCTTTGGCAGCGACAAGGGTACACTGTAAGCAACATGTGACACATTTGACATTCCCTGGATTGAGAATTATCATTTATATATATTGTGAAGACATGAAACAGACTTCATGATTGTTCTGTGCTGGACACGACATGATAGCCGGACGGGACATGATCGGGACACCTACAGTCACGACAGGTGCTCGAATCCCGGTGAAACCTTTTAGGCCTTGAGCCTACTCGAGGTGGGCGGAAAAGTTCGCTCGCTCAGGCTTTTGCGCTCTTGACACTGGTAGGCGGAGCCTAGCCCCTTTTTTTCCTCGGCGGTGAGCCATTGGATCCTTCTGGAGACTCTGACCCCACTGAGGGAAGTTGGTTGATTGGAAGACAGTTGATTGCCGTATCGTGCTTTTCTCTGTCGAGGCGGACCAGGGTGGTATCTGTTCACTATCATACCGGAACGGTTGGTTCACTGGTGAGCAATATCCTTTGGTGGTTGCCAGTGGAATTCAGTGCAAACTTTGATTCAGGAGCCCACAAGTTTCACATTGCACGAGTTGAGTTTTGAGGATGTCGAGCTCTTCAGGACAGTCACTTTTTGTTGACCCCAAGTCCAATGTGGTCCACTATGATGGAAGCCCGAAGCTGGCTGAAGAATATGAGGAGAGAGTCTGGTTGGGATTTCAGACGGTCGCCAAAGATGACAAGGTCAGCTATGCAGCGAAGTTGAAGAACGCTCTATTTGGAAGAGCTTGGACCCTCTGTCATCGCAAGCCGGAGATCGCGGCCCAGAAGCTCCTCCAGCTCAGCGAGGCCGAAGCGAGCGCCAATGCAGGTCCCAAAGCAGCAGTGCAGTTGGTGGTGAAGACGGTCAGAGCTGCATGTGAGAAGGTCGCTCCATTGTTGAAGACTCAGACCTTTGAAGATTACTTCTTCGACAAGGGACGGCGCCGCTTGGGAGAGAGCATCCAGGACTACATCAGCAGAAGAGAGAGCGAGTATGAGAAGCTGACAGGACTTACACAAGGTCACACAAAGCTCTCCTTGGACCTCCAGGCCTTCTTCCTTTTGAGGAATGCAGGTGTGAACCCAAGCCAGCATAGAGCCATTTTGGGTCAGGCTGGAAATGAATATGATTGGGACAAGATCGTGGAGGCCATGCTCATTCAGCTTGATGGCGGAGATGAGATGACAGGCAAAGGTTGGAAAGGAAGTTACAAGTCCCGCTCACAGAACAGCTATGGTGCCGGAAAGCGAGGTTCTTGGGCCTTTCCCATCGAAGAAGAGTGGTCAAGCTATGATGGAGAGACAGAAGAGGCCTATGCCATTGATGAATGGTATGCAGAAGAGCCAACGGATGATGACATCCCGATCTATGAGGTTGAAGAGGACGTTCAACATGACATTGAAGAGAGGGAGCATGCAGTCGAAATCATGGCAGTTGAAGACCTCACCAACGAGGAACTGGACGTCTTCGCGGCCACCATCCAAAAGATGGGCAAAGGTGCTTCCGAATATGCCAGGAAGAGACAGGCCGTGAGAGATGGGAAGACCAATCGTGGTTTTCAGTCGCAGTCCAGTGCAATTGGTCACAACAAGACATCGATTGCATTAGATGGCAAGTTGACACTCAATGCAGGACAGCTTCAAGACAAGATCCAACAGGTGAAGGCTCGCCCACAATGTTACGATTGTGGTCAGAAAGGTCACTGGCGAGGAGATCGAAGTTGCCCCAAGAACCCTGGGTCACCGAGCTCAAAAGGTGGCAAGAAGGGACAAGGAAAGAAAGGCGGCAGAAAAGAAGGTGTTGAAAGGAGTGAATGCAGATGCCCCAGTGATGGTTCATCATCAGCAATGGATTGACATCCACATTGCAGGTCAAAAGGGCAGAGTGGCTTTGCATCGCCTTCCCAATTCAGATGTTCCGTTGCTCCTTGGGTTACCTCAGCTCAGGGAATTGGGAGCGGTGATTGACCTTACAGCAACACCCAAGCCTACCATCCAGTTCACAACCATTGGTTCAGAGAAGGTTGAGATGGACTATGGAACTGGTGGACATTTGTTGCTGAACATCGGACAAGGTGGACGAAACAAGAAGTCTACACGAAACGGTGGAGGTATTTCATCAGCTGAAAGCCAAAGACTTCAACGTGGAGACCATCAGGATTATGAAAGGAAAGTTGAGAAGGAAAGTTCAAAAGATGGCAGAAGAGGCAAAAGAGCACGGCAGAGCACTTTGGAAAGAACTTCGAAGGGGAAAATCGTTCCCATGCGAAAAGGGTGATCGTGAAGGAGCTCTACAGTGGTGAAGATGGTGGAGTTGTGACGGCCTTAGCAAAGGACAATGAGATGCCCGTGGGACGACCACGTGATCTTTTGCTGGGAGACAACTTCTTGAAGAAGGAAGATCGTGATTGGGTCTTGGCAGAGATCAAGGTTGAAAAGCCAAGTCTTGTCACGATGGGTTTCAATTGTGATCCCTGGACGCCCCTCAGCAATTTTCTGGATGAAGACACTCGAAGGGTACAGCAGGAGATTGCCCTCGATCATCTGGATTTTGTGAGGCAGGTTTGCGAACTTCAAATTTCTGAAGGAAGACACTATTTGTTGGAGAACCCATTGGCAAGTCAGGCATGGAAGATTTTGCTGGAAAAGATTGAACATGTGCCGCATTACACATCCCGCATGGACCAATGTGCAAGTGATCTGAAGGACATCAATGGAGACTTTGTTTTGAAGCCTACACGCTTTGTCACATCCTCTCCGGTTTTGGCTTCAATGCTGACATTGAGATGCACAGGAGATCACGAACATGCGCAAGTTCAAGGTCGTGGGGTGAAAGATGGCAAGAATATTTCCTCCATGCTGGGACAGTGGACACCCCAACCTGGTGTCATGATTCTTGAAGGCATTCAGCGACAAGTTCTTTTGGAGGAGAAGTGTGGAGAAGTCAAGTACTACCTTGAAGAGGAAGATGTGTACCACAATGCACTTCAGAGAAGCTCGGATGTTGTGTTCCGACAACGGGAAGAAGAAGACCTCCAGACTTGGGAAGAAGTTCCCGTACTTCTCAGAAGCGCAATCACGAAGGTGCACCGACAGTATTCCCACTCCCTCTACAAGGAGAACTTCAGCCGACATTTGAGGCTATCAGGTGCATCAGATCAAGCAATCAAAGCAGCATCCTTGTTCACTTGTCCTACCTGTGAGAAGGAGAGAAGAAGCCCAGCAAGACCGATGGCCGCAGTTCCAAAGTATGATCATTTCAATCAATGTGTGGCCATGGACATTGCTCACATCCCTGATCAAGATGATGTGATGCACTCCTTCCTGCTCATGGTGGACATGGCAACATCATATACTCTTGCTTCATATTTGTGCTGAGGTGAGACTCCAGGTCGACCAAAGAAGCCCCACAATCTTCACAATGCCGCAAGTCGCTTGTCGACTGGATGGAAGTCTTCGGAAGTCCTGATCGAGTTCAGGTCGATCAAGATGGATCATTGAGAGGATATTTCCGGGAGTTGCTTGACCGTTTTGGCATTGAGGAGATCTTGGTGGCACGAGATGCACATTGGAGTCATGGTGTTGTGGAGCGAAAGATTCTCACTGTGAAGGAGATGATGATGAAGGTGGCTCACGACAGTGAAATCAAAGGTGCTGTATTGACGAGAGTGGCTGTGGTGAATTGTGTACAGGCCATCAACAGGCTGTCCAATCATCGTGGATTTTCTTTAGCTCAGTGTGTTTTGGGATTTCAACCAAATTTGCCGGAGATCATGGGTGACAGTAGAGGTATTCCCAAAACAGATCACGATGATCATTTTGCCATGGCACAGCGGATGAAACTACTTCAAGACTGTGAACATGCTTTTGTGAAAGCAAATCATTCCGCATCTCTTCGTCGTGCCCTACTTCCTCAAACCCGACAGCAACCAGGTCCATTTGACATGCACTCGCTGGTGATGTACAAAAGGAAAGGACTCAAGCACAAGGCTTACAAGCAGTGGCATGGACCAGCACGGGTGATCGGGAGAGATCTGCATGGATACTGGATTATCCACAGAGGCACCCCCATTTTGGCACATCCACACAACATGAGAAGAGCCATTGCAGAAGAACAAGAATTGATGTTGGAGGATGAAGGCAGTCTCCCACCGAAGAACGGACAACAAGGTTTCCTTGACCTCTCAAAGCCGCAGGACCCCATCGATCTGGAGGATGAGAATGAGTATGAGCCGACAGAACCACCAGATGAGAATGATGTGGAGTCGCCCAAGGCAGCAGGCGAGATGGCAGCAACCTATCAAGATGAAGGTACTTCGAGTGGTGATGAATCCCGTGAAGTTCGAGCCATGAGGAAGATTGAAAGAGAGGAGAAAAGGAAACTCGAGACTGAGGAGACCACAGAAGCTGCTGACGATGATGATGAAGAAGCTCGGAGAATCAAAGGTCTTCGTCGCCCTAAGAAGACTGAGGAGAGCTCAAGCAAGAAGAGAAGAAAGAGGAAGAAGAAGTTGGAAAGCTCAAACCAACAGAACATTGAGGAACAGCCTGTTCCTCTTCCCGAAGACTCTCCCAGTATGCCCTCGATGATTTCTCAAGATGAGGAACATAAGAGGAAAAGAGACCTACTCCTTGACGACGTGCCGGAGTCAGCGCGTGGTGTCATTCGGAGAAGGCTAGAGGAAAAGGCAGAGAGTGGACAGGAAGAATCTCAGAGCATCCTGACCCCTGAGGAGAAGGAAACCATGTGTGTTGCCTTTCTAGCTGAGAGATTGGACACCTATACCAAGCACAACAAGCATACAGAGTTGAATCCACAAAAGATGAAGGCACAACTTTCCACGGAGAAAGAGATCGAGGAAGCAATGCAGAAGGCGGTGGAGAAAGAAATCGGGACATGGCAGAAGGTTGATGCCATTGACATCATTCCTCCAGAGCAAAGTCAGCAGGTAAGAAAGGAAACTCCAGAGAAGGTGATTTCTTCAAGAGGAGTATGGACAAAGAAAGATGATGAGAAGCGAGAAGCACATGAGAAGGAGGAGCTGATCTTGAAATGCAGGGTTGTTGGTCGCGGCTTTCAGGAAGAATATGATGAGTCGCTCAGGCGAGATTCACCAACATGTTCAAACCTGCTTGTTCAGATCACTTGCAGTTTGGCCTCCTCTCGCTTCATGAAGCTCACAGCTGCTGATGTGCGTGGTGCTTTTCTTCAAGGTTTGAAGATTGACAGAGAGCGGTATTTTGAACCTCCCAAGAACCTTGGAAAGGCTCAAATTCCTGGAGTTCAACCTGGTTCATTGTTGAAGCTCAAAAAGTCAATTTATGGTGTGAATGATGCTGCACGGCAATGGTACCATTCCATCAAGGGAATCCTCCAAGGACTTGGCTGGGAAAGCCTGACATTCGAGTTGGCAGGTTTTGTGCTTCGAGAACCTACAACACGAGAGTTGATTGCAATCCTGGCGCTACATGTTGATGATGTCCTCATTGCATGGAATGAAAAGCAGTTTCCCGATGAATGCAAATCCATGCAGGAAAAGATGCAGAAAGAAGTTGAGTGGGGACAATGGAGGACGGACGGCACACTGAAGTTTTGTGGACGTTCCTACACCCAGGAAGAAGATGGAACAATCCATGTGCACGCACAAGATTACATTGACACCATGAGCACCTACAAAGTCAGCAGAGAACGTGGCAAAGACAACAACGCATCTTTGACCACGAGTGAGGTGAAAGCTTTCAGAGGACTGTTAGGTCAACTACAGTGGTATGCACGGATCATGGGCTATGCAATTGGATTGCAGGTGAGCAAACTGGCCAGTGAAGTCAAGAACCTGAAGATCTCCAGTTTGAAGGAAGCAGCCAAGCTGGTTCGTGAGGTGAAGCAATACCACAAAGATGAAGAGTTGATTTACAGACCGGGAATGTCCTGGCAACCGGAAGACATTTCAGTGGTTGCAGTTCACGATGCTTCATTCAACAATCTACCGGGACACAAAAGCCAGAAGGGATACTGGTTGGGCATTTCCACACCACAGATCATGAAGGATCGGACTTCAGTGCATCAGTTTCATTTTGTGCATTGGACATCTTCGAAGATCCAACGTGTGGTGCGGTCTACATTGAGTGCTGAAGCATATTCCTGTTCGGAAGCTTTGGATGCCCTCAGTTGGCTTCGTGCTACAGTTCTGGAGATTTTGCATGGTGATTTGGACATGAAGCAATACAAAGAGCATCTACACAAGATCCCTGGAGTGACGGTCACAGATTGCAGGTCCCTATATGATTGCATGAAGTCGGAACGAGTGCTTCTCTCAGACAGAAGGTTGTCGCTCGAAGCAGCCATCATCCGGCAGAGTTTGCAAGAAGGGATAGAATGCAAGTGGGTCCCATCAGAGCAGCAGTTGGCCGACGCTTTGACAAAGGCCTTACATCGGAAAGGATTGGCATACCTGAACGATGTGCTGTACTCAAACAAGTGGACTCTTGGACCAGACCCACGTCTTCCAGAGACATCGAGAAGCCGGAAGCTTGAAAGCCCAGATGAAAAGCCCAAGCCGGAGAAAGTTCAGAATCATGAAGAAGCAACAGCAATCAACAAGTTGCCCATTGAGCTCGATGATGATGAAATCATTGACAGCCCCAACACAACAGCCTCAGCATCCACGACATCCCCAGGCAGTGGTGTGAACACGAAAGCAGTACTGATGTTATCATTTGCACAGCAGTTCCTTCCAGTCAATGCAGAGCAAGACGTAAGGACGATTTTGCACTCATGGTCATGGGAGTTGATTTTTGCGCGCTTGATCATTGTACTGACAGCAGCTCTTTGGTACAACACAGTTGAGTTCACCAAACTGTTTGGATGGTATGAGGACCTGGCATTGTACAAACAAGGCGCTCTTGTTGCAACAGTGACAATGCTGACGGTGGCAATCGGGATGAAGGCAACAGTTTCACAGAATTCAGAATTTCTTACAGTGTTGTTGGGAGCAATGTTGATCATGATGGTGATGATTGTGAAGAGAATTGATGAAAAGACAACGACTACAAACCTCATCTTGGGAACCGAGAGAAGAAAGACCCAAGAGCTGATCCATGCTGGACTTTCACAGATGTTTTCTGAGAACAACATCATGTTGACCAACATGGACGGATTGAGGCATGCAGTCAATGAAGACTTCAAGAAACTCTCCAATTTCGTCAATGACAGCAATCGCTTTACATATCAGAAGATGGACGATATATCAGAAGGACACAATTACAGAATCGCACAAGTCATTGATAGATTGATCCGGATTGAATACAAGCAGGAACGACAGGAAGTACGAGCACTGGATCTGGAGAAGAGATTGAAGCAAAAGAAAAGGAGAAGGACACCATCGATGAGCTCAGAAGCAAAACGTGACATCCTGCAGAAACGACAAGATCGTCGCGAAGCACCAGGAACCCCGACAGAGTCAGAAGTGATGAGCTTATTAGAGTCACCGACCCCTCAAGAACTGTTCCCAGACCCATCAGGCGATGGAAGGATAGCGCCCTATGAGGAGCGAGATGAAAATGATGAAGAATTTGAGGGTGGACCCATTGAGAAGCCGACAGGTATGAGCAAAGAGCAATGGGACTCTATGACAACAAAGGAGAAAACATATTTTCTTCTGACAGTTTCCTGGGAGGCAGCATGTGTCTATGAAGACCAAGAGCAGATGAGCAGGATTGTCGGTGAAATGAGGACGCTGGCTGACGAGATCAACAACGAGAGATTGGCATCCCTCTCGGGCGCCAGTAGTTCTCACCATGATGTCCCAAGGGCAGAACAATCACAGAACATTGCGGAATGTGAAGACATGAAACAGACTTCATGATTGTTCTGTGCTGGACATGACATGATAGCCGGACGGGACATGATCGGGACACCTACAGTCACGACAGGTGCTCGAATCCCGGTGAAACCTTTTAGGCCTTGAGCCTACTCGAGGTGGGCGGAAAAGTTCGCTCGCTCAGGCTTTTGCGCTCTTGACAATATATATATATATATATATATTTCAATTCTTATTGACTTTTCAGATGCATGTTATAATGCCTCTTAAATCATTAGATCAGATTAGTGACATGTGCACGTGCAAGGACGATTATATATTGCGGATTCAGATGGTGGATCCTTTCGTAAAGGTTCGTCGGAGAAACAGTGTAACAGTTGGCGGTGGCATCATCATGGTGTTTGCTTGTCCGACATTTGTGCGCAAATGCAGAAAAATTAACGAGACGCCGAGACGCCTGCTCAGATTCGATAAACCCGTATTGAAAGCAGATCCTCAATTGTTTTCGTTTTATTTTGGGGTGACTGACTGGCGCAGCTTCCTTTCTTCCCAATCAATCTGAAGTTGACGCATGCTGCTGCCTCGCCTTTTCTTGTATTTGTATTTGACTTTTAAAAATGGACTGGGTGCAACAGTTCAGGATTCACCACCTTCAGCTGAATACCTTGACTGCTACTAGAAAGCTCCTCTCATACGCATGAATACTTGTGCACCCTGCACGTTATGTACAGTCCCCAGGAGTGAATTTAAGTGGCTTTTGGTTTCTTCAGAGCACTGATCCGCTCCAAGCAGGCAATCAGATGACTTCCTCTATTTTCCCAGCATGTCAGCTCAGTTCCCTATCCTTTCCTCTTTCGCTTTATTACTTTTCTCGCCTTTGACTAAAAGTCTGCTTCTGGTCCATTGCCAAAGACCCTGTTTGGCCACTTCGCATGTTGATCAATGAAGCTCTTCCGTCGACTAGAATGACCAGAAACGAGTTCCCAACCATGCTCCCTACTCCCTTGTTAGTTGCAATGCCAACAACTTGGACGCTGGTTTGATAGTAACTTAGTACGTATGGTGACAGATTGATGTGGAAGTTACTTGCACTAGGTAGCAGTTAAAAATCTGCAGGCCCCCCGCAAGGATACCTGTGCACCATGTCCTGTTCAGCACTGGAAAGCATGGTGCAGGTGATGAGCTTGCCGGCAAGCCCCGAAGAGATGGGAGTTATCCGTCAGGTGAACCGCTCATTTGTTGTTTGAAGTCATTCGCTTCAAAATTTGGCAATAGCTTCTTGTCTAGTAGCGATGGCCTCCAACCTACTTGCGATGGTCTCCACCTAATAGCGTCCTAGATTAGAAAACGCGACTTCAGCTGCCGGCATTCCGAATGTGAGGTTGAAGATAAGTTTGGAGTTGTCTTCAGGAACATGGAGGCTCAGCATTGATTTCTAAGCATCCCATTTGCCGTACTTGGCCCAATTGCCGCTTCGAGATTTTGGCAGGGGGTGGCCAGATTCAAGATCCTCCAGAACAGAAAAGCACTGAGGCCATAGTTCGACACACTTGATGCTTGTTTTTTCTTCACCTGCCCACGCACACCACTTGTGGCCATTACGCATTTTGTGCTTGTGCGTCTTTTGTTCCCTGAAACTAATTGAAACTAACTTCCCTCCAACCTACTACAATATAACTTATCGTTAAAGTGGAAAACCACCTGTTTGTAGAGGAACAGTCTCGGTCAGCCGTTTTCCTCTTCCATGGTAATGAGTCGGAGTCGGAGTGTAAGTGCCACTAAGACATTCAAGAGTTCTCGCACAAGAGAGGGAGCCGTTCTTGGCACCCTCCCTTGGCTTGAAGACACTACTTTGGTATATAATTATATAATTAGCACAGCCAAACGTTAATTGCTAGGGGCGGTTAAACTTCTGGATTCCTGGTGGAGTCTTTGGACATTCCTTTAGAGTCTCTGTAGTCGCATTTGGGGTCTTCTCTTCTCGGTACGTTCCGAGAGGGAAAGCGAGTAGTAAGGGACAGTGGGACCGTGTGCAACCCCTTAATGCTGCAACGGCTCAAGCGTTTAGATCTGCCGAAACTTTGCAACATCCTCAAGTTCCCCTTCCCTTCGGCCTGTTTCGGCTTGCAGGAACAAGCTGGCAGCAACAGGACGCTTGTCTGAAATCTATTTAAGCAGCTGCCGAATGCCAAGCTTGCTCACTGCCTACTCGCACAGTGCAGGACATTCTTTTATGTCGAACAGGATCACTGTATATAATTAGGCAACACACTTTGTCGCCGCCCTGCAACGAAGCCAGGTAGCCAGCGACAGAAAATGCTGTAGCCCAAGACTGTACATCAGTGACACGCGGCAGGGCTTCGCTGTACATTTTTTTGGTTCACTTTTAGGAGGAATGCGTGGCGCTTCCAGCACAATATCAAATCTCTTGTCTTTTCTGTATGTCTTCCATTATATATATACTATAATATTTGCGTGAGCGGACTTCAATTTGTTTCATTCCCAAGCGCCACTGCAACGAGTGTTCTTCAGCATGTCCAGCGTGTTGAAGAGGATTGTGTTTGTCCTTCTGGATATCATAGCTGCGCACGGTACACAATTGTGTGCCACATTTGGCTGATTGACTCTGTGCATGGCCTGCATCAGTTCATTCTGAACTGCTTGGAAGGAGCTGATTGGAGCTGGCTGCACAAACTGTAGCCATACTCAAAAGGTATCTCTTTGCGCTTCATCAAATGCATGATTGTCACACCAGGCCATTTGTTTGCGTTCGTCAAACCGTCAATACGTTCAATACGGTCGCCAATCATGTTCTTTCGGCCCGGAACCGCTCCTGCACTCACAGTGTTTGGCCAAGCAGACCAACCCACACAAGTGATACTCTTTGCAAGACAGTTTCAGGGGTAAGGCTGCAGTATACTTCAGGATCAGAATTCCACTGGAGAAGTTCCCAGGCATACGAGTCATGCAGGTCTAGGCCAACTCACGCTCTGCAAGATTCTCACAAATTTACACGCACACGCTGATAGACTCATCAAGCACCAAACATGCGATTTGGCAAGTTGTAAAGCCACTCTGAAGGGAAACAACATGTGAAGCTTTTATGAGCTTTTCGCTTTGTTGCAAACGTATTGCTGTAGCCATCCTGAAGTAGAAGGACGTATTGACAATAAAGCTTGAGCCCGCTTTCCGGCTAGCGCATTCTTTGTGGGTAGCCTCATATCTTTAAACATGCAGTGCCCATCCGAATGTGATAGCTGGCGTTGCTTGAAACAGTTTAGTTCGACCCACTATTCTGGCATGTGTGGTCTTGCGGATAGTGGCCTCAGCATTTGGGATCGCAGACTGTGCAACGGAAGAACGCTTTTCAATTCGAGGCCGGCAATCTGTGTTGCGGGTGCTCCTCCTGTAAGTTTTGCTCGGCTTTGGCCGCATAGGCTTCGAACCAGATGGTGATACGATTGCTCCTGTGCACCACTGCGTACATCATCGCAGACAGCCACAATGCCCATGCTCCTTGAGCTGGCATTTTTCTCGGTAGGGTTTGACCGAACTAAAACAACTTGTCAATTCCTACTGCTTCACCTACAATTTCCTACATATGTTCCCAGATTCGGATGCTCGGGACCCTGGGATCCAATCAACAAGTGCAACAGGTGAGTGTGAACCAGGACAGATAGACACGGTGGATACATTGGACGGAAAGGAACATCAAGTTGCACTGGGGCATCCGGTATAAGCTTGTTGGCCACACCACCAACTCCTCATAGCAGGTTCAACCAGTCTCACTGTACTGGAAGTATATTAAGAACATATTTTTCGTTAGTTTTTTTCATTAGTGCAGATATGTGCAAAGTGGAGAGCTGAAATCTGTGCAATGAGGCTGATCAAGGCCGCTTGCCAGCAGTGATGTTGGTCGTCCGCTTTATGAATTTTGAAGTTTGCTTTCCTTTCTCAATCCAAGGATCTGACAAAAGACAGACAGATAGCAACTTCAAGAACTATATCCCTGAGATGTACAGTGAGTATGTTCCAGACATGGGTAATGGTGGATTCAGATATCAAAAATACATGCAGGGACAGCCAAATGCCATGAAGTTCCAACAGAAGGTCCTGCCTCAAGGCAACTATCAGCAGTACATCCCTTTGTCCCAAGAGCAATCGAAGGACAGCGAGGCGGCTTCTGCAGTAGTACTTGCGTCTACGAAGGGTGAGAAGAAAGAGGAAAGCAA